AGAAAATGCTTTCATATGGTTAACTGGATAAAGCTGCAGTGAAACACTGCCTGGTAACATGCCAATTCAAGGTCTAAAAATACCATACTGAGGATCAATTAACCAGAAGTTGGAGAGGGTTTTCACTGCAGGCCCATTATCTGTATGTTCCCTTCTCAGATTTTGCCTAACATCTGGCTGGTTCTGCTGGTCACTTACCTCTGTAGTAGTCAGTTTTGGGAGGGAAGGATCAGACACAGCCAATGGTCCTTGTATGAAAATTCCTGTATTTTGAGTACTGCCTGAAAGTTCTGTTTAACTCTAATAAGCAGACCTTGGTCTCAGGAAAAATCAGCCAGTCTGCAGCAAAATGCACATCAACACCTACACATGTCCATGGCTGGTACAGTAGATACTTGCCCTTTGTATCGCTGTTGTCCAGCATCCAAATACTCTTCCCACATGGGGGGAATCTTTGGTTGTGTCAGTCTCGGTGGTGAGAAGTGCTAAATATAGAAACCAAGCAGGCCAGATCTTCCTCTTCACTTCTTAGCAGCTAGAACCCTGGCACATAAAATGAGGCCCACCAACTAGGCAGATGCTCCCACTTGATTTTTATTTTCCTTTTTCCTTAGTACAGGGACTGAACTCAGAGCCTTGTGCATGCTAGGCAAGCACACTACCTCTGAGCTACACCCTCAGTCAACTGAGCTTTGAAAGACACAAAAATAAAGCAACAGTTAAAAGAATCTCTAAGAGTCCAACAGTGGCAGAAGAGTCAAGTATGGTTTTCAGATCACACCATCTGTGCTATGGTTCTGCTGGGATCCATGCTTGCCTGAGTTCCCATGCTTTTCTGCTCATTTCTCAACTTCCCTTTCAATTCTGTGAGTCACCCGTGGTTAAAAATAGTAGTATGGTTCTAACACTGTGATCTAGGCTGTGTGATCTTGGGCAATGTTATAGCTTATGTCTAGATGTTCCCCCAGAGCCTCATGTGCCCACACACTTGGCTTTCACGAGTGACTAGATCACGGATGTATGTATGATACTAGATTAGCCCACTGACCGTTTACCACAGTTCTGGGTATACAGTTGATACCAACTGGTAGGCTTGCAGCCTAGACGAAATAAAAAGGGAAAGAAGAAGGAAGGCCCTGCTTCCCACCTGCCACAGCATGAACTATTTCTCCTCTGCTTTTCCTCGTTTGACTTGTGGGTGTCAGGTATTTTGTCCCAACAACAACAAAGTAACTAAGACAGATTTTGGTACTAGAGAAGTAAGGTCACTGCTGTGATGCTACCTGGCCATGTGGTTCCAAAGCCTTTGAAACTGCCCTGAGAAAAGAGTTTGGAAAAGTTTGGAGATGCTAGCTAAAGAAGCAGAGCCTAGAAGGACATGGTGATTGCTTTCGAGTTTTGGAAATTATGAGTTCCAGGCCAGCCTGGGATACATAGTAAGTTCAAGATTAGTGTGAGCTACATAGCACGACCCTGTTTCAAAAAAAAAAAAAAAATCTAAGAACAGAAGTATCTGTTATTTTTCAATCTGTTGTTAGATTCACCCAAATTGCATCCCTATGTATGTAATACTCTTTAATTTTCTGAGACCAAATAGAAACATGTAGAACAATTTTTTTGTACATATTTGCAATACTTTTTTTTTTTGTCTTTTTGAGACAGGGTTTCACTATGCAGTTCAGGCTGGCCTTGAGCTCACTTTGTAGCCCAGGCTGGCCTCAAACTCCCAGTGATCCTCCTGCCTCAGCCTCCCAGTTGCTGGGATTACAGGTGTGCACCACCACAACCAGGCTGCAACACATGATTACATTCACTATGAGGAGTTAGTGCATGTACATAACATGTCTTAATTCTTCTCACTTCCCTTCCCTTCCTCCTCCTCTGGGAAACACAGCATGGACCACCGTGGAAAGCTGCAATAGCCCAGAATGAAGCATTAGCTATTTACTGCCACAGAGTCTAGGTCAGTGGGATACATTATTTTGAATGAAAAAGCAAATGGAGAAATTATAGATGCTGGATAACTGTTTGGATTCTCGTATTAAAGAACTCAATGATAATGATAGACAAAACTTATAGAGAACTTATTATCTGCTACGAAATGCTCTAAATTCCTTACACATCTATTAAATCCTTATATTAAATTCCTTACATCTATTAAATTCTTTACATCTGTTCACTAGTTTAGCCCTCACATCAACTCTGAGGTAAATATTATTCCATTCTATAGATGAGCTAACTGAGGTACAGAGAGGACTTGCCCAGGATCACAGGTAGTAATTAAAAAGTTAAACAACAACTAATTTTAAAATGACTTTTTTTTTTTTTCTGGTGTTTTGGAACAAGGTCTCGCTATGTAGTTCAGACTGGCCTTGAGCTCACTTTGTAACCCAGCCTGGCCTGGACCTCACAGCAATCCTCCTGCCTCAGCCTCCTGAGTGCTGGGATTACAGACCTGCACCACCACCCCAATAAAACATTTTTTAAATCACTATGTCTGACCACCTTTCACCCAGGAAAGGGTTGGTATACCAAACAGGAAGGTAGGGTTTCTCTGGTATTAAATTCCAAAACATCCGCTCTCTGCTGAACACAGTCTATCACCTTTATTGAAACATAAAATGCAAACCCTTCTCTGTTCTAGGCCAGCTGCTCTCTTTGTCTGGGGATTCTCTTTCTGCAAAGTTGAAAAATAAAAAAGCAGCAAGAGCTTCCTTTATAAGGGGTAAGAGTACACATACTCACTTACACTGATATATATTTACACACAAAGAAACAAATTCAGATTCCCAGCTAAAGTCCCTCGCTCCTGAAGGATCTAGAAAAAATGAGCTTTGAGATCACCAAATAAATGTTTACTTGTATGTACAGGATTTCCTCTTTCTAACAGTGTACTTTTGGTTGTTATTGTTAGTTCCCTGAAAAATGTTCCCATGGAAAACTGCCCAGGCAGCATGTGCAATCTGGCAGGTCACATATGTGTCTAGCTGATTCTTGGGACATAGCAAGCAATCCAAAGAAAAGACCAATATCTAGTTTAATGCCTCCCTCCTTCCTAAAGAGAGACATTCCTTAGGAAAAATCCTCTGGCAAATGAAAGATGGCGTCAACAGAATAGAGTGCAGAAGACACTAAGTCCTTGCCATCCCCATAGCCAGTTAGTTAGTTAGTTAGTTAGTTATTGACACTGGGAATTAAACCCACGTCCTTCACACTACATTACAACGCCCACCCTATTTTTTTTTTTTTTTTTTTTAATTTAGAGACAGGCTCTAAGTTGGCCAGGCTAGGCTCAAACTTGCAATCACCCTGCCTCAGCCTCCCAGAGTCCTGGGGTATCAGGCATGCAGCACCACCATGCCCAGCTACCACAGCCCGTTCTGAAAAGACAAGCAAATGATTCCTTGATCATAATAGGCCTTTTTTTTTTTTTCTGTCATCTGATCCTACACTTTCCAGGCCTTCACTGTATGGACCTCACACAGAGGGAAGCATATTTCATATGGCATATGAAAAACTATTGTTATGTCTTATATCTAGATGCACCCCTCTAAACCTCATCTGGTCACAAGTGGGGCTTTTTGGAGCTGGCTGGATCTAGGGTGTGTAGTGCTGGGATTCAGGGTGCCTCACCCTGGTATGAGTGCTACCCACCCTATGGGCAGGTAGCCCAGATGGAATACAAGTGACAGAAAGAGGGCTGCTGCTATCACTTGTGGCGGCTGCTGTCACTTGCTGCTGCTGCTGCTGCTTGTCTTATGCTGCCTCTTGCCTGCTTTGTGATCCATTTCTGCCATGCCACTCTGCCTTGGAGACAGCCAACTAGGCACTGAAACCATACTGAGCCAAAATAAACCTTTCCTCCTTTAACTTAAGGTATTACATAAACACAGTCCTACACATATGAACAAGCTTTCTATCCTTACATTAAAATAATTTATCTTAGCTGGGTATGGTGGCGCACACCTGTAATCCTAGCACTCAGGAGGCTGAGGCAGGAGGATTGTTGCAAGCTCAAGCCCAGCCTGGGCTACAAAGTAAGCTCAAGGCTAGCTTGAATTGCATAGTGAGACCCTGTCTCAAAAAGACAAAACAAAAACAAAAAACCAAAAAAACCACCAAAATAATTTGTAAGTGCATTACTGGCTGGGCATAGTGGCACCTGCCTGTAATCCCAGCACTCTGGGAGGCTCAGGAAAGAGGATCACAAGTTTGAGCCCAGCCTGAGCAACTTGGTGAGACTCTATCTCAAAATAAAAAATAAAAAAAAAGGGCTGGCTATGTAGCTTAGTGTGAAGGCCCTGAGTTCAATATTCACTACCTCCCCCAAAAAAGAAAGAATAGTTGCCCGTCCAGTGTTATGATAGGTGTTAAAGTATCAAAAAGAACAATCCGCTCAGAATTTGTGATGTACCAGGTAACACTCAAAGCACCTTACACAGGGGGCTGGGGATTTAGCTCAGCGGCACAGTGCCTGCCTGGCAAGCACAAGGTCATGAGTTTGATTCCCGGTACCAGAAAAAACAAGACAAAAAAAA